GGCTTTGTTGTGCCCTCTTCACGACTGTCTTGGTGTGTTTGGACCATGATAGTTTGTTGGTGATGTGGACACCAAGGAACTTGAAGCTCTCAACCTGTTCCACTACAGCCCCGTCAATGAGAATGGGGGCGTGCTCAGTCCTCTTTTTTTTCCTGTAGTCCACAATCATCTCATTTGTCTTGGTCACGTTGAGGGAGAGGTTGTTATCCTGGCACCACACGGCCAGGTCTCTGACCTCCTCTCTATAGGCTGTCTCATCGTTGTCGGTGATCAGGCCTACCACTGTTGTGTCGTCGGCAAACTTAATGATGGTGATGGAGTCGCGCCTGGCCATGCAGTCATGGGTGAACAGGGAGTACAGGAGGGGACTGAGCACGCCCGTGTTGAGGATCAGTGTGGCAGATGTGTTGTTACCTACCCTTACCACCTGGGGGCGGCCCGTCAGGAAGTCCAGGATCCAGTTGCAGAGGGAGGTGTTGAGTCCCAGGATCTTTAGCTTAGTGATGAGCTTTGAGGGCACTATGGTGTTGAATGCTGAGCTGTAGTCAATGAATAGCATTCTCACGAATCCCGGCCTTAGTAAAGATGTTCTTGTAGCTATAACAGAATGGTGTCCCATCTCCTTACCAACAAATGGTGTCAGAAGTGGGATCTGAACCCACGCCTCCATTCTTGGTTAGAATTAGAATCTCAGGGGTAGGCTACTGGTCTTGATGAGACCCAATGTCCTCTAGTGTTTTTGCTTTTGGCCCTTCATTGCAGTGGGTGGAATATCATCCATACAGATTAGAGTGGACATCTTAAGCTTAATTTCAGTATAATGAACGTCTAAAGGCTTTCACATATGCTTGGACATGAACTGCGCTGAATGAACATTTCCATAGATTAAGAGTTAGTATAACCTGCATATCATACCATAAAACCTGTATGATCACTATAGTATAATCAATATATTATCAATTCTACATATAGCATCTCTCAGAATGTCATGCATTTCTCACACATGCAACAATGTGTCATTCAAAATGTCTGACCTCTGACCTTTAACCTGTCCTTAACCTCTTTCCTTTCAGGACGTGATGGTGGTGGGTGAGCCCACCCTGATGGGCGGGGAGTTCGGGGACGAGGACGAGCGTCTGATCACACGTCTGGAGAACACGCAGTACGACGCCACCAACGGATTGGACGACGAGGATGACTTCAACGGCTCGCCAGCGCTCGGCAACAACAGCCCGTGGGGCAGCAAGCCGCTCAACAACCAGGACAGCAAGGCCGAGAGCACAGCGCCACAGTCGTCACAGTAGAACACACAGAGACCAAGGCCACCGAGAGCACAGTCAGTGCCCCAACCTTCATATGTCCGCTTAGCTGACATTTAACTTCAATGGTTGAATGTCACTATTTTTGACATATTCTAATGAGACCATGTTGCCCTTCAGTAAAACAGAGGGAAAATAATTATCAAAAAACTGCTATCGATAAACACTGCTTTTTCACCTAAATACATACAGGTTGTATGCATTGCAATGATGACATAAAACAATACTGGGTTTTATTTTTTCAATTTTTCCTAGAATTCCTCTGTTTGGATTTGGTGGGAATTCTCAGTGTTAGGGGAGTTGGGATAGCTCTGGGAATGACACAAGGCCAGTGTTCATATGAATTGTACTTCATGGACACATTTTCAGTCCTTGAGCTTTAACTGTAGTGGGATTCTGTGGTTGTTGCCCTTTTGACCTTTGATCTGCAGGTTGCGACACCTCTGTGACAGTTGACAGGGGAAGTCAAAATAAAACATAAAAAATTAAATGGCTCCTTTAAGAGCATCAGCATTATTTTTATTTTTATTTATCAGCCTCAATCAGAACTAATCGGCAAGGTTTTTACTCAGCCCATATAGAGCCACCAAACTGCATCCACGATGGCCGAGACGTCACCGTCTTGAGCTTTTGCATTTTTATTGGACATTTATTTGACTGTTGGTTTGTTTATGTTGTGTTTTTTTGTTGGATTTTCAATGAAAAGGAAAGTGACTCTGTTTCACCATTACCGACAGCTTCAAGTGGGGAGACTCGTGTTCCACGATTGCTTTTCCAGAATTACTGCATCAGCGCCAATTGTTATTTCATGCAAACCTGTTTGATTGTGTTTGTAGTGTATTGGTGTTCTTTTGCTTCTCCCCAAAATACTTTACAATCACGTTTGTACGTTGCCAATCAGTAGACCTATGTGAACTTTGCTGACATACACCAATGCATTAATGTTGATTTTTCACATTTGGAATTTGGCTTAATTCTTTATCTTTAATGACCTACTCCCAAACTGATGTTTAAAGCTTTTTCCTGCATGATTTAATTTTGTTTGTTTGATATACTGTACAGTATAGTATGTACCTTTTTGAGACACATTGGTCAGCCATTTTGTTCATCAGTTTGGGAACACTGTTACAAGGTTTCTAGCTCTGTAACATAGAGAATGATATCAGGAGCAGCGCCATTGAGGGCTTCCACCATGCTTCCTTCATTTTAAAGTAGTCAAAGTAGTCAACTAGGTCGGGATTCCTATGGGTTGTAGCTTCAATGGGTTGCCCATGCTGTCACAGATGCTATAATGGCACAGATATAAGGATGGGTCCTCTATCTCTGTGCTCTGGAAAAAGAGGTGTGACCTACGATTTTATCCATTTAAGATTAGCCACCATTCTGAAACCATTTTGTACTGTACATGACAGCTGTTTCAAATTTCTATAGGGCATTTCGGATTCTGGTTGTCTGTCCGACCGATTTCTGCTGCTATAAGCAGCCCATTTATTGTTTTGTTTATATTCAGTCATTGAATTAATGCAGAGATCATATCTTAAACAACATTTTAGTCTCATTGGAGAGATATTAAAGATATACTGAGCAAAAATATAAACACAACATGTGAAGTGTTGGTCCCATGTTTCATGAGCTGAAAGAAAAGATCCCAGAAATGTTCCATACACACAAAAAATGTATTTCTCTCAAATTCTGTGCACACATTTGTTTACATCCCTGTTAGTGAGCATTTCTCCTTTGCCAAGATAATCCATCCACCTGACAGGTGTGGCATTTCAAGATGCTGACTAGACAGCATGATCATTACACAGGTGCACCTTGTGTTGGGGACAATAAAAGGCCACTAAAATGTGCAGTTTTGTCACACAACACAATGCCACAGATGTCTCAAGTTTTGAGGGAGCATGCAATTGGCTTGCTGACTGCAGGAATGCCCACCAGAGCTGTTGCCAGAGAATTGAATGTTCATTTCTCTACCATAAGCCGCCTCCAACGTCGTTTTAGAGAATTTGGCAGTACGTCCAACCGTCCTCACAACCGCAGACCACGTGTAACCACGCCAGCCCAGGACCTCCACATCCGTCTCCTTCATCTGAGACCAGCCACCCGGACAGCTGATGAAACTGAGGAGTATTTCTGTCTGTAATAAAGCCCTTTTGTGGAGAAAAACTCATTCTGATTGGCTGGGCCTGGCTCCCCAGTGGGTGGGTGGGTCTGGCTCCCAAGTGGGTGGGCCTATGCCATCCAAGGCCCCTGCCCAGTCATGTGAAATCCATAGATTAGGGTCTAATTTATTTAGTTCAATAGACTGATTTCCTTATATGAACTGTAACTCAGTAAAATCGTTGAAATTATTGTATGTTGCGTTATATTTTTGTTCAGTATACATAATTTGCAAATTATTGAGCAAAAACCAGCATCAAGGCCCTACAGAAATGCAGTTTTAAAATCCCTGCTTTAGTGTTACCAGTTGTTCTTTGACTATGAATCCCCCCTGATCTCCTCTAGTCTACTCTTCTGTTGGATTTTGTTTCTTAAAGGCAAGAAGACAACCGTGGATGTATTTAATATACGTTTTGATCTTTTGTGTATTTATTTGTGCATTTGTAAGGAAGCTAACACATTTCTAAATAGATTTGAGCCTGGTATTATTAGAATTCTGCACAATTTGTACATTATATTGCAGAGATGTTTTGTGTCATATCTGATGTCTGGTATGTATGCTTTGCCATTATGTGTGCCAATAAACCGTGCTTAACGATTGGTCCGATTGGGTTTCTGCAGACATTGTATGGATTACTGTGCATTCTGTGTTCATGCATGTCTGTTTCTCAATTAATCTGTTTTCCTATACCTTTATTCTAGTCTGCCTGTCCTCGTGTCTGTCAATAGGCTGCCAATATGATATGTTACTACAGCGTAACTGTGCTGTATCCCTACGTATTCCCAATGTGACAGATTGATGGACAATAACCTATTTTATGACCAATTTCGAATGTGGCTAATGTCAGCCACCACTTCTTACATCCTTGATAAATATAATGAGTTATTTAGGGTCAGGGGGACAACTGGTTCATCAATAGACCAAATCTGTGTTTGAGACGAGCAGAACCATTTGTTTATCTTTGAACAGGATTCAAGACAGAAATCAATCATTAAGGCATATTTTACTAAAGGCAAGGAAGCAGCAGGATATCAAATGTGAAATATTTGGATGGATGGATAGCCTGGCTATTTGAAGAATCTCAAATATAAAATATATTTAGATTTGTTTAACACTTATTTGGTTACTACATGATTCCATATGTGTTATTTCATAGTTTTTATGTTTTCACTATTATTCTACAATGTAGAAAATAGTAAAAATAAAGAAAAACCCTTGAATGAGTAGGTGTTCTAAAACGTTTGACCTGTTGTGTATATATGTGGTGAATTTTGTGGGTCTATAATCGGTGTGGATAATGTTTGTTTGATCAATATTTCTGTTTGTATAATTTATGCATCAATCCCTGCGCGAGAATGTGATGACGTTGCGTTGGTCCCTGAATGTTGATACCAGCGCCGCGGCAAGTGAAGATGGTTATATGTTTTGTACTTTCAAACGGTCCAGTTGGTGGCGGCAATTCAACTTTTGGATGTAGTCCGCCATAAAACCCACAGAAGAAGAAGAAGAAAGTGAAGATGGCGGACTTGTTGGAGACCGGGCCGTCAGATGAAAAAGAAACCGACAATGAGGACAAGAAGAAGGTGAAACGGCCATGGGATGACATACCAAGGTCGGAGAAAATCGGTAGAACTCCAGATTTGGCGGAAACATTGGGCTTTTACGATATAAATGCTGTCAGACGGGAGCAACGTGAACGCGATAACTCAGGTGGGTTTCCCTAGATCGCGCGCAGGTCAAAGCGGTATCGTTTAGATATCATTTTATCTGACAAACCGACCTCTTTAATATGTCTAGAAATAATGCATTGGAAACTGACGATCGCATGAAAAGTATTGTAAAATACATGTCATAGTGGCACAACAATTTTATGTTATCGTTGGGCTGTCCCGACAGAATGCACAACCAATCAAAGCACGCCATTGGATTTTTTTAGCTGTCAAACGGTGTTGTTGTCATACTCCATAGTTAACGTTAGCTAACAAGCTGACTTGCGAGATTGTTTGTCAAAATACAGGCTTTCAGTTAGGCTTTCTCACCTTTTGTATTAGTAGCCCGTGATAAATATCTATATGCTAACTGATCATTACAAATATTTGTCATTTAGTTACTAATTACTTAGACGTTTAATTCCTGGTCATTTGTGTACATGTGACGGACCGCGCCTAGCCAAAGGACGAGACGTCTAACCTTACCCCATTCATAGCTACCCAATGCTAGTTACTGTAGTTCACTATCTTGCTAGCTAGCAGGGTCGATGCCCACTTCAGTGACTGTTCCCCCCATCCACGTAGGCTAGGCTAGCCCAAGAATGTACTAAAGGTAGTTAGCGTCTAAGTTTTTTGCTTAGCATAGGTTAATGTTTCTCTAGTTAACGTTACCTATAAAGTCAATTTTTGGTCTAGCTAACGTTAGCTTGCTGCCTTTTTTTTGTATGCATCAACGCATACTGTAACGGTTGGGCGCCGAGTTACTACAAAAAGTTGTGAAATCCGGTCAACGTCGCACGATCAGTCAAAATATACAATTATTGTGTTGGAAATCATCTTTTGTGTTCAATATATCATGTTTGACAGGTTCTCACTATTTCCAACCGACTGGAAAATATTTAAAGAGTATGGGGTCATTTCGGGTAACGTCCTCAGTCAATGTAAAAAGGGGGAGAGGCGCCTTTGCTTCACATCAACAAACAAGAACAGTCTCTGCTCACTCATGTGAGACTGTTTAGAATTATTGAAAAATTATGCTATTATGTATATTTAAAAGCACAGCATACTGGTAGTTTCTGTATTCCAAAACTTCATACATGGAATGGTAATTAATTCTGATGCCATTGTAGCTCAAAGTTTTCCTCATACCAAAAGTCTTATCAGGCAAGTTTATAAGATAATCATTAGTGGTAAAGTGGCATTCCAATTCAGTTGGTTTTGTCTAGAAGGGATACAGCTTTTGTCAAGATGTACTTTTTGTAGCAGGTTTAGGAGAACCTACTCAGCAGGTTAGGATAATTAATGTAGCAGGTTAGGATAAATAGGTTAATGTTAGGGAAACGGTTAGGGTTAGCAATTTTTTATTTTTTTTTAATAATACGTTTGATGTCAATTTGACGAAAGCTGCATCCCATTTAGACATTACCAATTCAGAGGGTCCTATATGAATGGTTAGGCTACTTGAGGTCTTTTTTAGGCAACGATTGGTGTGTCAAATTCTTTATCTTTCATTTTCAAAAGAGAAACTTCCTTTCCCTTACATTTTCATTCATGCCATATTTTTGTTTTCTGTGTCAGAGCTTCCCACAATTGGCACACTGACATGTATTTTGGCCATTGTGTTGATCACCAGGAGTGTGAACAGTGACCGTGGAGGGACAATAGCCCTGTGGTAACAGAGCGCTAAGTGTTGTCACAATGTTTTTCCAGATCCGTCGCTGGCACGCTTCCTGTGTGCTGAGCTGACCCGGGGCTACTTCCTGGAGCACAACGAAGCAAAATACACGGAGCGCAGAGAGAGAGTGTACACATGCATGCGCATTCCCAGAGAACTGGAAAAGGCAGGTACAGTAGAGGCTCCCTGGGAACCTCACACACACACAGATAACCACACAACACAGTCAGTTCAGCAGTGTTTGTTTAGCATTGCCCTTGGTAATGTTCTGGGGCATTGGTATTTCCAGTGAAATTAACAGTTATTGTTATTCTATTATTTTGTTTTATATTCACATAGCATTTTTTATAGAGTTGACACAAATTGATATACAGAGAATAGTGTGTAGGGCTACATGGTTCTTTCTCTGTCCTTTTATTGCTATTGTCTATAATTGCAGCCCAGAATGTTTTTCGGTATGCTGTCATAGACATAATAAGTATGATGCAGTGTCTATACAACCAGTAGATGGTGGTGTTGTAACACATTACATTGATAACATGATGCAGTGTCTCTATAGAACCAGTACATGGTGGTGTTGTAACACATTCCATTGAGAATGTGAACAAAGATTCCCCTAAATGTACCTCTGCAAACTCATCTTGGAATAATAAACCTCTGCACTAGTGTCTGATACCAGAAATAGGTCAATTTACCCCTGCCTTTATTTCTCTCCTCGAACCCTCAAACATTGAGAAGACACCTGTGTGTGCTCTGAGGTAGCTACTATTCTGGGACTACTTTTAATATATTGTATCTGATGTTAGAGAAGCTTCCAATGAAGAACACTCTCTGGGTTCTATTGGATAAATAACTCTCCAATCATGTGATGGCAGGGGTTGTAAAGCCATAGCAAGTGAGTTTCTTCAAAAACAATTTATGATCAAATTTATTAACATCAAAGGCTCCACTGAAATCTAACAATACAGCTCCAACTATCATATTTTAATCCGTTTATTTTAACCAATCATCAGTCATCTGAGTCAGTGCAGTACAAGTTGAGTGCTATTTCTAGACAGTGGAATTACTTTAGCATCCTTCTACGCCTGTGGACACACTCCTTTAGGCTTTGGTTAAAGATATAGCAAATAGGAGTAGCAATACAGTCTGCTACCATTCTCAATAGTTTCCCATCTATGTTGGCTATACCTGGTGGCTTATCATTATTGATGGATAACAATCGTTTTTCCACCTCTCCTACACTAACTTGACCAAATTCAAAACAGCAATCCTTCTCTTTCATTATTAGATATTTTATACAAAAATACGACGGTTCACTGTTCAATGTTGTCATTTCACTTCTGAGTTTTTCCACTTTAATAGTGAAATAGTCATTGAAATGATTGGCAATATCGAAAGGTTTAGTTATAAATGACCCATCAACTTCAATGAACGATGGAGATTAATTGGGTTTTCTGCCCATAATATCATTTAAGGTACTCCAAAGTCATTTTCCATTGTGTATTATGTCATTTATCTTGGTTTGGTAGTGTAAGTTCTTATTATTTTTGTTACGTTTAGTCACAACATTTCTCAATTGACAGTATGTCAACCAATCAGCTGAGCAACCTGACTTGTTTGCCATCTCTCTTTTATTTATTTTTAATTGTTTTTTTTTGTTTTTTGCCATCATTTCTTTGAACCTAGGGCTGTTGCGGTGACTGTATTACTGCCACACTGGCAGTCATGAGTCATGACCGGAGACAAATTCCACGTGACCATTGAGTCATGGTAATCTCCTCTTATGCACTCTGGACATGCATTCAGAACCCAACTCGCTAACGACCATCAGGTGCTAATGGCCTGGTACTCAGCGCTCTATTGTTTCTCTGACCTCTCCGACATCAATGCAACTGCAATCGAAAATCACATCAAACACTTATTATCAAAACAGTATCATGCTTTTAAAACTCGCCTCACTGTGATAGATCAATTTAAAGAAAGAAGTTCAACAACCGGTTGAAACTGAGTGGAAAACATGGTCGTTGTGGATGTTGTTTTAAAGATACACAATGAAATGGACAGCGCTTTCTAAAGGGATGATTAATTCAAAACATCCATAAGCATATTAGAGCTTATGCATACGCATAGACCTATATATGAGCCCAAGCCCAAAAAACCCTCCTGAATTAAAATAATGATTGTGCTGTTATAGCCTACAATACATAGCCTACCACATATTACACATGGCAGAACATTTTATTTTTATTTTTTAACATAGATTTAAGATGTCTTTGGTACATAATTGGTCTAGCCATTACTACAAAATGTAAACAAATTATAGTAATCGCCTTTGAGTGTGGACTGTATTATTATGCATACTGGATGGACTGGTTACCTTATGCTATGATCCAAACTTTCTATCCATGAATCTGGGAGAGAACATACAGTCATAGGTGATGCTGTTGGTTCATTGATTGTGTAGGGCGGCTTTGAGTTAGCCTACAATTATAGTGAATATGTATTTGATTTTGAATAGCCTAGTAACAGGGCATTTTTATTTTTTATATTTCCATAATTAATAGGCTGACACATTACCTTTAGCTACAGAATATCTCACCACTGTGAGTTTCCATTGCCTCTCTCTCCTTCATTCCTTTTTTCAGTGTGCAGAGAGAGGGGCTGTCAACAGTTTAATGAAATACAGTGGGGGAAAAAAGTATTTAGTCAGCCACAAATTGTGCAAGTTCTCCCACTTAAAAAGATGAGAGAGGCCTGTAATTTTCATCATAGGTACACGTCAACTATGACAGACAAAATGAGAAAAAAAAATCCTGAAAATCACATTGTAGGATTTTTAATGAATTTATTTGCAAATTATGGTGGAAATAAGTATTTGGTCAATAACAAAAGTTTCTCAATACTTTGTTATATACCCTTTGTTGGCAATGACACAGGTCAAATGTTTTCTGTAAGTCTTCACAGGGTTTTCACACACTGTTGCTGGTATTTTGGCCCATTCCTCCATGCAGATCTCCTCTAGAGCAGTGATGTTTTGGGGCTGTCGCTGGGCAACACAGACTTTCAACTCCCTCCAATGATTTTCTATGGGGTTGAGATCTGGAGACTGGCTAGGCCACTCCAGGACCTTGAAATGCTTCTTACGAAGCCACTCCTTCGTTGCCCGGGCGGTGTGTTTGGGATCATTGTCATGCTGAAAGACCCAGCCACGTTTCATCTTCAATGCCCTTGCTGATGGAAGGAGGTTTTCACTCAAAATCTCACGATACATGGCCCCATTCATTCTTTCCTTTACACGGATCAGTCGTCCTGGTCCCTTTGCAGAAAAACAGCCCCAAAGCATGATGTTTCCACCCCCATGCTTCACAGTAGGTATGGTGTTCTTTGGATGCAACTCAGCATTCTTTGTCCTCCAAACACGACGAGTTGAGTTTTTACCAAAAAGTTATATTTTGGTTTCATCTGACCATATGACATTCTCCCAATCCTCTTCTGGATCATCCAAATGCACTCTAGCAAACTTCAGACGGGCCTGGACATGTACTGGCTTAAGCAGGGGAACACGTCTGGCACTGCAGGATTTGAGTCCCTGGCGGCGTAGTGTGTTACTGATGGTAGGCTTTGTTACTTTGGTCCCAGCTCTCTGCAGGTCATTCACTAGGTCCCCCCGTGTGGTTCTGGGATTTTTGCTCACCGTTCTTGTGATCATTTTGACCCCACAGGGTGAGATCTTGCGTGGAGCCCCAGATCGAGGGAGATTATCAGTGTTGTATGTCTTCCATTTCCTAATAATTGCTCCCACAGTTGATTTCTTCAAACCAAGCTGCTTACCTATTGCAGATTCAGTCTTCCCAGCCTGGTGCAGGTCTACAATTTTGTTTCTGGTGTCCTTTGACAGCTCTTTGGTCTTGGCCATAGTGGAGTTTGGAGTGTGACTGTTTGAGGTTGTGGACAGGTGTGTTTTTTACTGATAACAAGTTCAAACAGGTGCCATTAATACAGGTAACGAGTGGAGGACAGAGGAGCCTCTTAAAGAAGAAGTTACAGGTCTGTGAGAGCCAGAAATCTTGCTTGTTTGTAGGTGACCAAATACTTATTTTCCACCATAATTTGCAAATAAATAAATTAAAATTCCTACAATGTGATTTTCTGGATTTTTTTTCCTCAATTTGTCTGTCATAGTTGACGTGTACCTATGATGAAAATTACAGGCCTCTCTCATCTTTTTAAGTGGGAGAACTTGCACAATTGGTGGCTGACTAAATACTTTTTTCCCCCACTGTATGTTTCGTTGTGAAAACATGTTACTATCGATGTTCCCGAACAGATTTCACTTGGTTTCCTAAATGAAGTACTGGATAGCTGCAGGAAAATGGTTGGAGAGCCCATGGCATACAGAGTTTGGGCGGAATATCACCTGTCGCGCAGCGAGAGGCGGCATGCTCCTCAAACAGTGGTTGAAGAGTGGAGCGAAATAAGCCCAGACATTTCTATATGCAATCCCGTGTGAAAGCAAAGTTTTGATTGTTGCCACTAAAAAGAGGACGCTCCCAGCTTCTACCATATTTATTTCTTAGCTGCTCTATATTAAGCACATGCTCCGCTATTAAACCGGAGTAGCCTAACCTGCATGATTGGAAAAACGAACTGCAGGAAAGTGGCCCCATTCGCTATTCCAGTGCATATGGATGACAAGTCTTTTTTCCCTGCCCATTTGATAATGGGACATTCTAAATCAAAACTAATTTTACATATTAGTAAAGACAAGATTAAATTGAGAATAGTCTGATGGGTCAAAATATGATCACTTGATGAGAGCACAGCGTGTGCAGCCTGAGGCAAGGAACAGAGCGCAAGCGACTTTCTCAAATCATCAATAGCCTATAGTTGCATCATGCAGCCCATGTATCTTTTGATTTCAGACATTCTAAGGTTTGTATCATTCACAACAAAATTTGCCAAATAACTCTAAATCTAGCGCATAGGACCCGTTTCAAATGATCACTTTTACACTCAACATAGCCACTTTATATGCACACTCACACTTACTCTGGAGTGGGATAAATATCCATTCTATTTTATTCGGCTTTGTTCAATTATATTATTCTTACCATAAAATAATGGCACGGGACTTATAAGCATATCTTGTCTGCTAAATGAACAAGCCTACAGCCTATAGGATGGAGCATAGTCAGATAACATACAGAAGTCTTCTGAAATACATTTTCTTCATATCATATTGTTTCTTTAGACCTGCCTAATACAAATTGATTTATTGTGATGGTGTATATTAAATTCATTTATTAGACTTTTAAATGTTCCAAAGGCGGCATCAGCGGCTTGTATGCGTGGAGGCCTGGAGATGCTAAATGTGTTTTATGTTAATTAACGGTCATTAACCGTGAGACCAGCAGTCATTTGCATGACAATGACCGTCTGACAACATTTCATGACCGCCACAGCCCTAGTAGAACACAATGTGATTTTTGGGGACTTCTGCGTTCTCCCGAACAAAGCTATCTGTGGGCAAGCAGAGCCTAGTTCAGTGAAGTAAGCACAACCGGAGGTCTGAAGTTGATGGGTTTGTGGGAAAACCCCCTCTCTCCCATCGCTCCATGGTCTGCAACACGCGATCCATGGCTGTGCCAAGATTCTGGAGCATCGTCGCGTGCTGCTGGACGCGCTCCTCCACTGGTACCGGAGGACTGGATGCACCTGCTGATTCCATATGAGGTGCGTGTTTCTGTCAAGTGTCAATGTGCAGCGGTAGGACGGAGTCCGGCGCAGGACACAGAACTGAGTAAACAACGTACTTTACTCAAAATAAACAACACTAATCTCCACGCAGGGAAAACACACCAGCTCACATAAGTCTTAGACACAAAACAAAGAACAAACACGCACAAAACCATGTGGGAACCGGAGGGTTAAATAGGGAAATAATATAATGTAATGGGAACCAGGTGTGTACAATCAAGACAAAACAAATGGAAAATGAAACGTAGATCGGTGGCAGCTAGAAAGCCAGTGACGACGACTGCCGAACGCCGCCCGAACAAGGAGAGGCACCAACTTTGGCGGAAGTCGTGACAGTACCCCAACCCCCCCCCCCCCCCCTTGACGCGCGGCTCCGGCAGCGCGCCGACACCGGCCTCGGGGACGACCCGGAGGACGAGGCGCAGGACGATCCGGGTGGAGACGGTGAAATTCCTGCAGTAAGGAAGCGTCCAGGATGTCCTCCACCGGCACCCAGCATCTCTCCTCCGGACCGTACCCCTCCCACTCCACTAGGTACTGAAGGCCCCTCGCCCGACGCCTTGAGTCCATGATGGCTCGTACAGTATACGCCGGGACCCCCTCGATGTCCAGAGGGGGCGGAGGAACCTCCCGCACCTCAGACTGCTGGAGCGGACCTGCCACCACCGGCCTGAGGAGAGACACATGGAACGAGGGGTTAATACGGTAATCAGGGGGGAGCTGTAACCTATAGCATACCTCGTTCAGTCTCCTCAGGACTTTAAATGGCCCCACAAACCTCGGACCCAGCTTCCGGCAGGGCATGTGAAGGGGCAGGTTTCGGGTCGAGAGCCAGACCCGGTGCATACACCCGGGCCTCACTGCGGTGGCGGTCGGCGCTCGCCTTCTGTCGCTTGATGGCCCGTTGCAGGCGCACATGGGCAGCGTCCCATGTCTCCTCCGAGCACCGAAACCATTCATCCACCGCAGGTGCCTCGATCTGCCTCTGATGCCACGGTGCCAGGACTGGCTGATAACCTAGTACACACTGAAACGGAGACATGTTAGTGGAGGAGTGGCGGAGGGAGTTTTGGGTCATCTCTGCCCAGGGGATGAAAGCCGCCCACTCCCCCGGCCGGTCCTGGCAATAGGACCGCAGAAACCTACCCACATCCTGGTTAACTCTCTCCACCTGCCCATTACTCTCGGGGTGAAAACCTGAGGTCAGGCTGACCGAGACCCCCAGATGTTTCATGAACGCCCTCCAGACCCTCGGTGAACTGGGGACCCCGATCAGACACTATATCCTCAGGCACCCCGTAGTGCCGGAAGACGTGGGTAAACAGGGCCGCAGTCTGTAGGGCCGTAGGGAGACCGGGCAAAGGAAGGAGACGTTAGGACTTAGAAAACCGATCCACAATGACCAGGATCGTGGTGTTACCTTGTGACGGAGGAAGATCCGTCACGAAGTCCACCGATAGGTGTGACCACGGCCGTTGTGGAACGGGTAGGGGTTGTAATTTCCCTCTGGGCAGGTGTCTAGGTGCCTTGAACTGGGCGCACACCGAGCAGGAGGAAACATAAACCCTCACATCCTTAGCTAAAGTGGGCCACCAGTACTTCCCACTAAGACAGCGCACTGTCCGACCGATGCCAGGATGACCAGTGGAGGGTGACGTGTGGGCCCAACAGATCAATCGATCGCGGACATCAGACGGAACGTACAGACGGAACGTACAGACGCCCAACTGGACACTGGGTGGGAGTGGGCTCCGTATGGAACGCCCGCTTGATGTCCGCGTCAACCTCCCATACCACCGGTGCCACCAGGCAAGAAGCCGGAAGTATGGGAGTGGGATCCGTGGACCGCTCCTCTGTGTCATACATCCGGGACAGTGCGTCTGCCTTAGCGTTCTGGGAACCTGGTCTGTAGGATAGGGTGAAAACAAAATGGGTGAAAAACATGGCCCAACTTGCCTGGCGAGGGTTCAGTCTCCTCGCCGCCCGGATGTACTCCAGATTGCGGTGGTCAGTCCAAATGAGGAAAGGGTGTTTAGCCCCCTCAAGCCAATGCCTCCACACCTTCAGAGCCCTGACAACAGCTAACAGCTCCCGGTCCCCCACATCATAGTTTCGCTCCGCCGGGCTGAGCTTCTTTGAAAAGAAAGCACAGGGGCGGAGCTTTGGTGGCGTACCCGAGCGCTGAGACAGCACAGCTCCTATCCCAGCCTCGGACGCGTCCACCTCTACTATGAATGCCAAGGCGGGATCAGGATGAGCCAGTACGGGAGCCGAGGTAAACAGAGCCTTAAGGTGACCAAAAGCCCTGTCTGCCCCAGCTGACCACTGCAGTCGCACCGGTCCCCCCTTCAGCAAGGAGGTAATGGGAGCCGCTACCTGACCAAAGCCCCGGATAAACCTCCGGTAGTAGTTGGCAAACCCTAAGAACCGCTGCACCTCCTTTACCGTGGTTGGAGTCGGCCAATTACGCACGGCTGAAATGCGGTCATTCTCCATCTCCACCCCTGACGCGGACAGGCGGTACCCTAGGAAGGAGACAGACTGTTGGAAGAACAGACATTTCTCAGCCTTGACGTACAGGTCATGCTCCAACAGTCGACCAAGCACCTTGCGCACCAGGGACACATGCTCGGCGCGTGTAGCGGAGTATATTAGAATGTCATCTATATACACCACTACACCCTGCCCGTGCAGGTCCCTGAAAATCTCGTCTACGAAGGATTGGAAGACTGATGGAGCATTCATCAACCCGTACGGCATGACGAGGTACTCATAGTGCCCAGAGGTGGTACTAAATGCCGTCTTCCGCTCATCCCCCTCCCAGATACGCACCAGGTTGTAAGCGCTCCTGAGATCCAATTTGGTGAAGAAGCGCGCCCCGTGCAATGACTGTCACACTGGCTATGAGAGGCAGTGTGTAACTGTACTTCACAGTGATCTGATTTAGACCTCGATAGTCAATGCACGGGCGTAAACCTCCATCCTTCTTCTTCACAAAAAAGAAACTTGAGGAGGCAGGTGAAGTGGAAGGCCGAATGTATCCCTGTCCCAGAGATTCGGAGACATATGTTTCCATAGCCGCCGTCTCCTCCTGAGACAGAGGATACACGTGACTCCTGGGAAGTGCTGCGCCTACCTGGAGAGATTTATCGCACAATCCCCCTGTCGATGGGGTGGTAGTTGAGTCGCCGCCTTTTTACAGAAGGCGAGAGCCAAATCGGCATATTCAGGGGGAATGTGCATAGTGGAGACCTGGTTTGGACTCTCCACCGTAGTTGCACCTATAGAGACACCTACACACCTCCCTGAGCACTGACGTGACCATCCCTTGAGAGCCCTCTATTGCCACGAAATAGTGGGGTCATGAGAGGCCAACCAGGGAAGCCCCAACACCACAGGAAACGCTGGAGACTAATTCTCTCCTCGTGACCCTCCTGTGTTTTCATACGTAGTGGAGCTGTGACCTCCCTAATCAGGCCCGACCCTAAAGGACGACTATCTAAGGCATGTACAGGGAAGGGCACATCAACAGGAACAATAGGGATCCCTAATCTACGTGTAAATGAACGGTCAATAAAGTTCCCAGCTGTGCCTGAATCTACTAGCGCCTTATGCTGGGAAGGCGGGGAAAACTCAGGAAATTCTATGCATACACTCATGTGCGCAACAGGGAGCTCTGGGTGAGTCGGGTGCCTCGACTCCCTGGGGATCCTCCCCAGCACCGACCAGCAGTGTGCCCTCTGCGGCCACAGTTGGTGCAAGAAACGGCCCCCCCTCCGGTCACCCTTAGAGCAGCACCTCCGAGCTCCATAGGGGTAGGGTCGTAGGTGCTGGGGGATGGAATGGACGGACCCTGACCCGGATGTCCGCGGGTGGCCAACAGGTTATCCAGCCGTATAGATAAATCCACCAGCTGGTCGAGGGTAAGGGTGGTGTCCCTGCATGCCAGCTCCCATTGAACGTCCTCACGTAGACTATACCGTTAATGGTCGATCAGGGCCCTCTCATTCCATCCCGCGCTGACAGCCAAGGTCCTGAAGTCCAGTGCGAAGTCCTGTGTGCTCCTCTTCCCCTGTCTGAGGTGGAACAAGCGTTCCCCCGCCACTCTCCCCTCAGGTGGATGATCGAAGACCGCCCAGAAGCGGCGGGTGAAATCCTCATAGCAAACCAACGCTGCGTCTATTCCTCCCCAATCGGCGTTGGCCCACTCAAGCGCTCTCCCAGACAGACAGGAGATGAGGGCAGACACGCTCTCGTATCCCGAGGGAGCCGGGTGGATGGTCGCCAGGTAGAGCTCCACCTGGAGCAGGAACCGCTGGCACCCGGCAGCCATCCCATCATATGCCCTCGGGAGCAAGAGCCGAATCCCACTGGGTCCAGGTGACGGAGGGGTGGACATCGGTGTGGGTTGATCTGAAGTTGATGGGTTTGTGGGAAAACCCCCTCTCTCCCATCGCTCCATGGTCTGCAACACGTGATCCATGGCTGTGCCAAGATTCTGGAGCATCGTCGCGTGCTGCTGGACGCGCTCCTCCACTGGTACCGGAGGACTGGATGCACCTGCTGACTCCATATGAGGTGTGTGTTTCTGTCAAGTGTCAATGTGCAGCGGTAGGACGGAGTCAGGCGCAGGACACAGAACTGAGTAAACAACGTACTCGAAAAATAAACAACACTAATCTCCACGCAGGGAAAACACACCAGCTCACATAAGTCTTAGACACAAAACAAAGAACAAACACGCACAAAACCATGTGGGAACCGGAGGGTTAAATAGGGAAATAATATAATGTAATGGGAACCAGGTGTGTACAATCAAGACAAAACAAATGGAAAAAGAAACGTAGATCGGTGGCAGCTAGAAAGCCGGTGACGAAGGAGAGGCACCAACTTCGGCGGAAGTCGTGACAATTTTACCCATCTACCAATAGGTGCCCTTCTTTGCGAGGCATTGGAAAACCTACCTAGTCTTTGTGGTTGAATGTGGGTTTGAAAGTTACTGGACAGGTGTAAAAACGAAAGTCAAAGGGTGTGAATACATTCTGAAGGCACTGTAGAGATCAAATGGACCACAACCTTCACATCATTGATATTTTTCATTTGGAATTTGCCCTCGGAAGATTGCGCCCTCAGACCTTCACATTGAGACTGAACATCAGTGTAGATCAGTCATCACCTAGCTTAATCTACGTCCCCACTCCAATTCTCATTGGTTAGCCATAGCATTTCAAGCCCTGGAGATCTGAGGAATGTGTGTAAACAGATCTAGGTCTAGAAGCTCTGCCTGAAGGGAACATCCAGGGACCGACCAATGAAAGAGTAACTTGTGACTCTCTTTAACCAACCCAACCCCCACTACTCACTTCCTGGTGGGAAACGGGAAGTGTTGCAACACCATCACTACTGATGTTTGTGAGGCTAACGCAGGACTTACTGGAGCTGGCAGGCGTTTAATAACCTCCCTTATCATGAGATGACTGGTCTCAGATGGTATTTGCTATTTGAGAAGGTATGTGTGGGGTTCATGTTTGCAGGCTTTTTCCCTTTTTAACCTTGCTTCCTCAAAAGTTGCATCTTAGGTGTATATTTTCATTTCTCTTCAAACTTTGTATTGAGTGTGATGTGTAGACTGTGACGATTCATTTTAAGGTGAAAGCTAATCATGACATTTTTGAAAACTTTTTTTGTATAAATGGGATTGAAATTGATAGTTTTTTTTGTAGCGTATTCCTCTTTTCGTAAAATGCAAAAGCTCTGAGTGAAACCAGTGGATCAAGTCTGATGTGTGGTGTTGACGTATGACCTCTACCAATGTTTTGATGATCATAGATTAACACGCAGCCAAACAAATAGCTTAATACTTAGCCTAATGTGTGTGTTTTAGCCTGTAGCCTACCTCAATCTTGCTGTCTCATACTAGGAAATGCTACACTATATTCAAAGTAGTACAACCCAAGTCGTCTCTGAACATGCTGATAGCCTGTGAAAATGAAAACATGCCACGCTTACTGTAGACACACACACACACACAGTGTTTAACCTGTGTGTGTGCATACTGTATAGAGAGAGCGACTGACAAACACTGCTGCTTTTAAACTCACACATAGCCGACATACTCTCTCTCACACACACACACACACACACACACACACACACACACACACAGCCATGTTTTACCTGTGTGTGTTGTGTTCTACCCTACAGCTGATGATCTTTGGCTTCTTCCTTTGTCTGGATGCCTTCCTCTATGTGTTCACTTTGCTGCCCCTGCGGGTGCTGCTGGCCCTGCTACACCTCTTCACCCTGCCCTGCTGCGGCCTCCGGTGAGCCCACGCACACAAACACACAGACTCTCTGGGTCGCTATAGAAATGCCGTGAATAGATCTGAAATGCATGTCTATTCTACCAAATGTATTTCTATCTGAACGTTCCGTAAATGTGTGCCCTGTTGAACGCAGCTCTGACACTGACGAAGAAACACTGCATGATTGGATTGGAATGAAGGGTGCTACGTGACCACTACCATATCTATCTATAACATAGATGATTCTTTATGTTACAACATAAGGGGTTAATAGGGCAATATGTATAGGGCTATATAGATAGGGCCATCTCACCCAGTTTTCCCCCAAAATAGGCCTAGTTCCTAATTTTGAGTGTGTAACTCAAACGTTCACGTAAATAACACCCTGATATGAATGAGATTTGCATGAAAACTGGAGTTTGCTCATATCTCTAGTTAGGATTCTGCCTTTCTGACGACTGATCCATACGTAAGCTAGGTTTATACTGTACAGTAAGTATTGTACTCACTCAGTTTGCCTGTGACTGGTCTGTACAAAGATCACTCTCTTCCCTTACCTTCTTTCCCTGCAGGGCAAACGTATGCCCCTACTGCAATCGGAGCAGGTATGCTCGTCTCACGCCTGCCACAGCTTCATCATTTATATTTATGGTTTCACCATCTCCGTCTTGTTTGTCCTGACATGCAGCTTTGTGCTGTATTCTTCATGCTCCATGCTAAAGCCACTGAGGGGCCATTTTGGATTAGTAGTGTTCACAAACAGGGCTGTGCTCGCCACGGCAACACGTATACTAAACTGTACGCTTTCCCTGCAAGGGCCTAGATACAGGGCCTATAGAAAGTCTACACCCCCCTTGGATTTCTTCACATTTTATTGTGTTACAAAGTGGGATTCAAATGGATTGAATTGTCATTATTTGTCAACAAAATACTCTAATGTCAAAGTGGAAGAAAAATTCATACTTTTTAAGAAGATTAATGAAAAATAAAACACTAATATACCTTGGATAGATAAGTATTCACCCCTCGTAGTCAACACATGTTAGAAACATATTTAGCAGCGATTACAGATATGAGTCTTTCTAGGTAAGTCTCTTAAGAGCTTTGCACACCTGCATTGTGCTAGAGAGCAATTTTTAAGTCTTGCCATAGATTTTCATGCAGACTTAAGTAAACTGTAACTTTGCCACTCAGACACATTCACTGACTTCTTGGTAAGCAACTCTAGTACAGATTTGGCTTTGTGTTGTAGGTTATTGTCCTGCTGAAAGGTGAATTCCTCTCCCAGTGTCTGGTGTAAAGCAGACTGAAGCAGGTTTTCCTCTAGGATTTTGCCTACGCTTAGCTCCATTCCGTTTCTTTTCATCCTGAAAAACTCCCCAGTCTTTGCCGATGTCAAGCATACCATACCATGATGCAGCCACACCATGCTTGAAAATAAGGAAGCAGTTACTCAGTGATGTGTTGTGTTGGATTTGCCCCAAACATAAGGCTTTGCATTTAGGCCATAAAGTGTATTCTTTTGATGTGTATTTTTGCAGTATTACTTTAGTGCCTTATTGCATACATATGCATATTGGAATATTTTTATTCTGTATATTTCTATTCTTTTCACTCTGTCATTTAAGTCATTATTGTGGAGTCACAACAAGGTTGTTGATCCATCCTCAGTTTTCTCCCATCACAGCCATTGAACTCTGTAACTGTTTTAAAATTACCAATGGCCTCATGGTGAAATCCCTGAGCAGTTTCCTTCCTGTCCTGCAGCTCAGTTCAGAAGGACGACTGCATCTTTGACGTGTCTAGGTGGTTTAATACATCATCCACAGGATAATTATTATCTTGACCATGCTTAAAGATACCGTATATTCAATGTCTGATTTGTTATTGTTACCAATCATTGCCCTTCTTTATGAGGCTTTCGAAAAGCTCCCTGGTCTTTTGTAGTTGAAATTCAGAACTTGACTGAGGGACCTTACAGATGTTGTATGTATGGGGGACAGAGGAAGGGTTAGTCATTCAAGAATCATGTCAACCCCAAATAACTTATGTGATTTGTTAAGGGTCGAAATTTACTTATGCAACGACTATATTTTAGTTATTGAATTTGTATTAAGTTGTAAAAATGTGTTGAATTTTCTTTTCACTTTGACATTATGGAGTATTGTTTGTAGATCAATGACAAACATGGCAATTCAATCTATTTCAATCCCACTTTGTAATGCAACAAAATGTGAAAAAAGTGAAAGGTGTAGACTTTCTATAGGCCCTGTACATAGTGGACATGGTTTCTTCAACAAGACTGGCCCATCAAACTGAATTCCAGGGTATAGGCCTAACAAAGCTCCAGTCTTGTTGAAATGCTCAATAGTTCTCCTTGTTGGGTTGAGGACTCCTGTGTGAGATTTATCTCCAGAGTATGTACGGTACGCAGAATGTTATTTTTTACATTTTAGTCATTTAGCAGACGCTCTTATCCAGAGTGAGTGCATACATATATATATATTTTTTATACTGGCCCACAACCCTGGCGTTGCAAGCGCCATGCTCTACCAACTGAGCTACACGTAGGCCTAATTGAAGGACTGATTGGAGAATGGAGGCCTGCAGCTTGCGGGGAGGCTGTGGTAGTGTATGGGTGATAGCTGTGCACTGCAGATGCTTAGTTAGACATCGCATCAACAGATGGCTTGAGCTCTCAGCTCCTGGAGTTATAGCACCCTGACTCTGTCCATCCTCACATGAACACATAAGTCGTAATCATGCACTGTGACTGACTGCTAGCTTTATTGAAGTATTTTCTTGGAAAACATTAGATAATTATGTGATAATTATTGACCACATCTCAAATGAGCCTCCAGAGTTGAGGATGTGATGTTGTTGAACTCCTTCATGGTTTATAAGCCTTAGCTTGAAAACATCAGAAATATGAACCTGATCCACTCCATACAGAAAATGCCTATGAATTGCATAGGTTATTTGCCAAGTCCACTCCTATGGATCTTTGAGTGTCGTTTTTTTGGATGTCGTAGTAGGCCAAAGATAATGTATTGTAATTTCAGTAGTCATAGTAGGCCAAAGATAATGTATTGTAATTTCAGTAGTCATAGTAGGCCAAAGATAATGTATTGTAATTTCAGTAGTTCAAACGTTGCCGTAACTGAGGAACAGCTGTGTCGGCACACTGAATCTTTCAAATCTGTGATGCCCCAAGAAAGGTTAAATGTATTTTTATTTTTTTATCCGCACCTCCGAGAACCAGGACTTTGTCCAGAAGTCTGTTCCTCTCACACAGCACAGCTCACCGCTGATGGCTGTAGCCTTTGTGGGATCCGTTTGATGATGCTGCATGCCCTTTGTGTCTGTCTGCATGGCAGCGAAGCATGACTGACCTTTATACACACACACACACACACACACACACACACACACACACACACACACACACACCTGCTGCAGTCAGTCAGTCAGCTAGGGGGCTATCAGATTCATGGTGCAGGCTGGTGGGGGTGGGGTGTGTCACAGGGGCCTGGCATACACTGGCATACACTGGCATGACAGAGTACACATT